AAAAAGTCTCTAACCTCCTACAACCTGGTATAGCCACTGTTCTAAAAATCGGCCTAGGCGGACCGATTAATCGGCCTAGGCGGCCTAGGCGGCCCTAACTGTAGAGGCCTAGTCGGCCTAGTCGGTCAAAAATCGGCCTAGTCGGCCAAAAAATCGGCCTAGTCGGCCGCCTAGGCGCTAGGCGCCCCTCAACCGCCCGACTAGCGCCTAGCGAGTTTTAGAACAATGGGTATAGCAGATCAAATTTAAATGTGAATTACTAGTATCTTTACCCGTGCCGTGCACGGGATAAAATGTTTTTTTTGTCTTACTTTATATGTAGGTATGCGCACAGAAATTGCTTATTATAACTAACAGAAATTGCTTATTTAGTCGATTATAACTAACAGAAATCAGTTATTTAGTCGATTATAACATTGGTTGATAATGCAAATTCCTTTAACTGATCTAATACATGTTTGTTCTATGTGTACCTTGAAACTGTCGAATTCTGACTTGGTTTGATCTAATCTTCCTTGATCCGTTCTATGTGTAGTTTTGGTCCGTATAAGACATTTAGGTTTCAGATTTTCATGGCAGCGGTACATTAGTTCGGGTTATAATGATATTGTTTTAACATACATCAATTATATCTTCAAGAGAGATTGAGATCTATTAGAATGTGATATCATCCGAAAATTCTACAATGGTGCACGTTGCCTTTTGAGAAAGTCGATACCTGAATTTGTATTAAGAAAACATCAAAGATTTATGTTGCAAGAAATGTTTGGGCATTCCATGTTTGGGGGTCAGTAATATTTGTTTCAAATTTTTAGATACTCACCCCGTGTCATGAAATTCTTCTGGATTTGACTTGGATCGGAGTTTAAGAAAGTGAGAATAAAGTGAAAATGTATGGTTGTGCATGTTTGATTAGGAAAAATAAATAAATTAATGCTAGGCACACAGAGCTTTCCAAAAAAGAAAATTTGAAGAATTTTTGGGAGCTTCCAAAAAGGTAAGTGAGAAGAATTTTAAGGAACGTGGAAAGTATTTGATATGAAGAAGGCATATATTTATCGATTAAAATATGACAGCATTTTAAAATAATTGAGTATGAGCAATGTTTATGCAATTGATATGTCACTGTCAAAGTTTTACGTGTAAACCTGCTCTCTAAGTTATAGATTTATATATAGTATGATCCATATGATAAATTATGAAGATTTGAGTTTTCAAGTATAGTGATATCATTAAAGTTGTATGTGTGCAGCTTAAAAGTAAGGAAATGATTATTATACCTATAGGTTAGGCAATTTTATTCTAACTCAAGAATCTCATTGAGAAGTTGGTGATGACTTGGGGAATTGCTTTATGTGCCCCTAGATTCACTAAAGCTAACCCATGTAAGAAAAAATTTCCTTTTTTTCTTTTACTAAAAGTGTTTCTCATAACATTTTAGCGAGTTTGTTTCTTAGTCTTTAATTTTCTTTTTGGTATTTTTCCATTTGTATTTCATGGGTCAGGTTGTAATCCGATTTTTATAGAAAATATATCAAAATTTATGATCTTTTATTATCTTTGATATGACACCAATAATGTATATGTACAAATAAAATAATTTTTAACATGTTGCAATAAGGGGATATTTTATTTATTGGTTGAAAGTGTCAATAAGGGACATTAAGTTCTAAAATATTAATTTAAAACCAACTCAAATAGAATCAACAAAAATGCTCAGTTAATGGCTTTCTCTCTTAAAAAAAACACAAAGGACGCTAGCAAGTTAGGGGAAATGAGAACACACAAATGACGCTAAAAATTCCCTTTTTTAAATTTGTTATAACTTATTTTATTTATAATAAGGATTTACAAAAAATGTATCAAATTTCATAAATTATTATATCTTTCGTATGACATGAATATTGCATATATAAAAATAAAAATCAATCTAAATATATAGCTGATAGATGGAGGTTCTTAGGCTCCAAATCTTTCTTAAGTGGATTCAATTTCTAAAATTTAGTGGATCATAAGCGTTTTCTATTGACACTTTTAGGAAATAAATAAAATGCATCCATCAATCGTATGATTGGATTTATTTTAGACTTATATATACAATATTGGTGTCATAGGAAAGATAATTATAAACTATGAATTTCGGTACATTTTTTGTAAAAATTAAATTAAAAATATAAAAAGTTATAGCAATTTATTTTTATTTAATTTTGATGTAAAATAAACTAATTGGTTATGTCGCTTCCCAATGTTCCAATTACCAATTGCCATCATGCAGGCTAATGTTGTTTTTATATCAAAATTTATAAATTATTATTATCTTTTGTATGTATAAAAATAAAAATAAGTCTAATGATACGGTTTATAGAGGGTTTGAGGCTCAAATTTTTCTTAAGTAGATCCAAATTCTATTGACACTTTCAGTCAATAAATAATAAAGAGACTATTACCCAAAGCAGGACTAAAAATGTTTGAAAATTCCAAAATAGGACTGTCATGTTTTTATTCCCAAAATAGGACTAATTACTGTCATGTTTTGGTAGTACCGGACTTCAAACATGACAGTATTTTCCAAACTTGGTAGTAATTACTTCTATTTTGGAAATAAAAAACATGACGGTCCTATTTTGGAATTTTCAAACTGTTTTAGTCCTATTTCAGGAACATTCCCATAAATAAATTGTCCCGTACATGCAACATGAAATTACTCTATACAATCATGAGATCTTAATTTTAAAGCTTGGATCTATTTTACAAAAATAAGCCAAAAACCTCCATCTATGGTATATTCAAAATTATTTTTATTTTTACATATGCAATATTGGTGTCATATCAAGATTAAAAAAACCCATGATTTTTGAGATATTTTTTAGAAAAATCAAATTACAAATCAAAAAGTTATATCAATTTAAAAAATAAATATATTTTTTGTTGGAGATTTCTAAGTTGAGTACAATTCTAATTTCTAATCTAGAATACTTCATATGATAAAAAAAAATCTAGAATACTTCGTATACTCCTAACTAGTGCTGGACTCGGGCCGGGCGGCCCGGCCCGGAACCGGCCCAGCCCGGAACCGGCCCGGCCCGGTTACTGTTTGGCCCGGCCCGGCCCGGGGCCCGGTGGGTCCACCGGTTCGGTTCGGCCCGGCCCGGCTGCTGGGCGGTTCGGGCCCGGGCCCAGGTTTTGGTGAACCGGCCCGGCCGGTTCGGGCTCGGTTCGGGCCCGGTCCGGGCCGGATTTTAATTTTTTTTTTTTTGAAATTTTTTTAAGTTTTAGGTTGGATTAGGTATTTTGGGCCATTTGAGGTGGTTTGGGATGGTTTGGGGTTGAGGGGGAGGGGTAGGGGATTAAATAGGAGAACAAAAAAAAAAAAAAAAGTGGGCCGGTTCGGCCCGGCCCGGCCCGGCCCGGTTTGGCCCGGAACCGGGACCGGAACCGGCCACCGGCGGTTCGGGCTCGGGCCTCCCTTTCCTGGCCCGAGGCCCGGCCGGGCCCAGGCCCGAACCGGCCCGGGCCCAGTCCTAACGTAATAACAAACTCATAACAATTCTAATTTCTAATTTAGAATATTAAAGATTTGCTTAGGAGATGACGCATGACAAAACTTTCCATAATTGTATCTTTCAAATGTACGGAGTATTATTTATAGATATAGATATAGATTTTTTGTAACAATCATAGTATAAATAAAAAATACTCCGGATATAACACTTTAAAAACAGATATGTATTAAGTGCTAAATTATTTTTTTATTTTTATATATTTAATATTGGTGTCATATGAAAGATAATAAAAAGTTATAAATTATGATATATTTTTTGTAATCATCAGAGTGCACATAAAAAAGTTATAGCACTTTAAAATAAATGTGGGATTTTATTTTTTGAACTACATAGCTTTAGGAAGTTTTCTAAATTCACGTTACATGAGTTCGTATCTATCTTAAACACTAATCTAAATTAACGTAACATGATTATAAAGATACTAAATTAGAAAGAAAATCTAAAATATTATAATGAATGTTTGCTTAGAAGATGACACATGGCAAAAACTTTCCATAATTGTATCTTTGAAATGTATTATCTATAGATAGATGTGTAAGCTATAAATAATCTCAACTCTAGTCGATCTTCTTTTATTAATCCCAATTATCAACTCTCAATTTTTAAAAAATATAAAAATATACGAAGTACTCGTATTGTTTATTATTTTGTTGTTGTGTTAACAAGTTATGACTTGTGATTTTGTATTGTTTTTCTTTATTCAGATTTCGTTTTGTGTTTTCAAAAAGTATATTGTGATTTAAAAAATTTACGATTTAAATCTTTATGCTAGATTTTTTATGAAAATCTATTTTATTAAATGTCTATGCTATCTTGAATTTTTGAATGATAAACTATATCTTATAATTTATAGAATATAATAATAGAAAATAAAGAAAATATAAAGAAATTACAAATGGCTAAAATGGCTATAATAAACTTTATGCTACATTTTTTGAATTAACATAGCATAAAAATTAAATAAAACATATTTTCATGAAAAAAATAGAATAAAGTTTTCAATCATAAAAAAATTAGTCACATTTTACTTTTTGAAAACACAAAATCTAAAATTGAACAAAGGAAAATACTATCAAACCATAATTTGTTAATACAACGGGGGGATTCTTAGTGGAAAAAAATGACTAAACTATATTTAACTTCAGTACGTTTATAGAATTTTTATAATAACTTTTACATGTTTAAAAATATTTAATTTGAAAATTTATATAAAAAATTTTATATTTTTCTAAAATTGAGAGTTGATAATTGGGATTAATAAAAGAAGGTCAACTATAGTTGGGATTATGTATAACTTATGCATAGTTCACATTTAAATTTGACCTAATATACCAGGTTGTAGCAGGTTATGGACTATTTTTGGAAAATGGTCTCTATGGTTGGGACCACCCTGGAATAACCGATAGTTGAGATTATTAATAGTGAATCAGTAATAGTTGGGATTATTATTTTCACTTTTTCCTTTTTAAAAAAAGAAAACCGATACTACGTATATCATTAATTAATTCAAACTTTCGGTGTATAGCTGAGAGACGATACAATCTGGAGGATTATAAACAATATAATAACCATCCGACATAGAAAGAGCAACTTAGCTAATTTATGAGCTACCATATTTGTGGATCTCCAACAATGCCGCATGACTTCTATCGTCGCTTCATGTTGAAGACTAAGTCTTACTCCCTCCGCCCCTCAAAACTTTGTCATCTTTCTTTTTTGGGACGTCCCAACAAACTTTGTCGCTTTCTCTTTTAATCAATTATTTGGTTATTTCTGTTACTTCTCTCTCATCTACACAAATCTCAACCCCACAATTTTAAATTTATTATTCTCCGTGCCGATCAACTTTGGCAAAGTTTTAAGGGACGGAGGGAGTAAGACTTAGTCTTCGACATGAAGCGACGGTAGAAGTCATGCATTGTAGGATATCCGCAAATATGGTAGCTCATAAATTAGCTAAGCTGCTCTTTGTATGTCGGATGGTTATTATATTGTTTATATGAGTCCCCATCACGATCCACCATTTCTGATAATGTATCAAATATGAGTCTCCATCACGATCCATCATTTCTGATGCCACCGCTAGTGAGTCTCTTTCTAGCTTGACACTCTTCCATTCATGTGTCCTTGCCCAGGCTATAGTATCAGGAACGCCGATAGCCATTGTGACCCCTGCAGACCAACTTGCCTCTTCCGCATGCCATCCAATTTTTAAAAAATTGCCATGCTCATGTCAAGTTACCCATGCCCATACTCACCTATTGCGATTTAAAGCAAGAGCCGCATCCACATTTATTTTAATAGTACCTGGAGTCGGCTTTTTCCAGCCTAATCTTTGTCTTTCTACCCTCCAGTTGCCTCAACTCCTACTGCCACCTGAGCTACCTTCCAACCACGTATAACCGACAAGCCTATCACATTGTTGTCAGTCACCATCTTAATTCTTCCAACTCTTATCATTGTGTCACTTCCATAAGCTCCACAGATTGACAATAAAAATACATAAATCATCACAATACAAATATCAACAACAACAAAAATAGTAAAGTCGTCTGCTTGTCGGACGAAGTGGGCGTCCAACTTTTGCTACACCGTATCCGCCTTGTAATGGCGGAAAAGATGCTCTTAAGTCTCATCCGCCTCCTCCTCACAGAGCCTACAGTTACTATCCATCTCCATCCTTCGTCGACGGAGATTATTAGTTGTGGGTAAACATTCGGTCATTAGCTACCATGCAAAGCACTTCATTTTTGGAGGTATTTGTGACATCCGGTCCCTCTATTATCTTCATTCCACCAGATCTTATTCGAATTTTCCTGTAGCTAATCGGAATAGAAAGGATAGCCCTCTTATCTTCTGCCGAAAAAATTGTATTGACTCTCTCCATATTCCACTCATCCCTCACTTTCATTAAGCAAAGCCGCCACATTCATATCAGCAACCCCATCAATAGTCATTCATAAATCATAATCACTTCAATTTCAGAACACAACACCTATGGATGCATAAACACATAATAACATAGATATGAATGATAAGAACATGGTGGGAAGATAAAGACTAATATGTCGTAAGTAATGTGTTCATAAACACATCATAGACATACGGCTGAATAAAAGTAAAGGAATACAAGTAAGGAAAGCAACTATCGTGATATTTGCATATACCACGTATTAACACATTCATAATGTATGTTGCATAGCTTGGATCACTGTTTTCAACATAATATCTCGCTTAGCCTTTGACAGAAATCTATTATTCCAGCTATGCACTCGATTAATAATCTGCTCCTTTAAATAAATTAAAATTTCCTTCTTATTCCTCCCAATCAATGAAGGTAACCTCAGATAAGCAAAATTATAACCTCATATTCTTATGCTCTGATAGCCTTCATGCGCTCCTCATTTTGATTCAGACTAAACATAACAGTGGCTTTATTATAATTCATAATTTGTCCCGAGCAACTCTCATAAATATGCAGAATATTCTGGATAGCTTCACAATCTCCTTCTCTCGCTCTAAAAAATAGAAAACTATCGTTAACAAAAAATAAATGTGGTACCCTTGGGGCCCCTCTCGCCACAGCGATACCCAAAATGTTTCCCATGCTTTCATGTGTCCCGATCAACACACTAAATCCTTCTGCTACCAAAATAAATAAAGCCCCCCTCCCCCACCCCGTCGAATTCCCCTGCTAGACGTTACCGGTCCAATCACCACATCGTCAAAAGGAATAAAATATTCCACAAAAGACATACATTGCACAACATCCCAATCCATTTCTCAACAAACCCCATAATCCTCCTCAATTCCTCCACATATCCTCATTTTACACTATCGTAAGCCTTGCTCACTTTAAATTTTAGGGCAACATAACCGCCCTTCCACCGAATATTCCGTTTTAAATAGTGTAAAGACTCAAAAGCAATCATAAATTATCAAGAATAGATCTACCAGGAACAAAAGCACTTTGATTTGTAGCTACCAAATCATTAAGAATACCCTTCAACCTGTTTGCCAGGACATTACTAAATATTTTAAAAAACATATTACACGGAGCTATTGGTCTCCAATCCCCCATAGTTTCAGGTTTATCTTGCTTTTGAATAAGAACCAGGTTAATTTTATTTGCCTCTCTAAGAATTCGTCCCGCCGCCATGGTGTTCTTGCAAAATTTGACAACATCTTCCCCCACTCTCTCCCAATAATGCTGAAAAAAGCCGGATTTAATCCATGTGGTCCCGATGCCTTGTCCGTATGCATATCAAACACAACTTTCCTAACCACAATAACCGTAATTGGTTTCAAAAGGACCTGATTCTGCCCAGGGTTCACCCTTGCCAATCGTGTCATCATACTCTCCTCTATCCGAGAATTATTCGAGAATTCTTGCACCATTTGCCTAAGTCTGCTACGATCATATTCCCACTCACTGCTGGGAAGTCATAGTCCTTTCATCTGATGCCTCATGATGCCTCATGCGTCGTTGCTTGACAGCATTATGGAATAAACTTTGTGTTTTTATCTCCTCTCAGCCAAAAGGTATTAGACGCCGCTTCCACTAAATATTCTCTTTCTAGGAGATTAACCAACACCTCTTTCACCCGGTTAAATTCCACTGCATTTTATCTGCCCCTTTCGCCCATAGACCCGCTAGCGTGCTCTTACACACATCATCCGCGTCTGGAATCCAACTCGCCTATTTTTACTCCGATGTTGAAGTTCTACTCCATACCCATTTAGGCGCTGCCATATATGCATACTGTCCGAGCTGTTCCATGCCCGTATTACTTCCCATGATTCATTTTCCAGGATCCACATATACTCAAACTTAAAAATTTTCCTCCATATATTTTTGCCCTCCCTACTGAGCCAGATAGCTAACATGAGATGCTCACTGCTAGGCCCTTCCAGAGACGTGCCCCGATGTTCCCCAAACATGGAAATCCATTCCTTGTTAGCAAGAATCATATATTATGATTATTCGAAGACACGGTTTCCAGTAAGACAGAGGAAGAGCGCAGGCAAGAGTATATTTTCTCGAGCAGATTCGCACGCTCACTACTCAAGAAACTGGGGGACTTGTGTTGGGATATATTATCCTGGTCTGTTACTGTTCAGGAGCTCAATACTTTACGTAGTACGGAGCCCAATTAGTACGACCCATTTTAGCCTATCAAGCCTGTTTCGGCCTTTGGGCCCATTTTGGTCCATCCGGCCCGTTAGGGTGGAGAGCCCACCATCCCCCTTTATCTATAAATAGGTGGAGTTCCCTCCTTATCAAGGATCCTTTCCCTTCTTCTCCAACTCATTTTCTTCTCTCTAGAATAGCTTGCAAGACTCCATTAATGGGAGCTCAACATTTGTACATTGTAATGGTGAGAGTCTTAATGAGAAAGAGAGGGCTTGGACATTAGCCTAAAAAGTCCCGTGGTTTTCTCCCTTTCGGATTTCCACGTAAAACCCGAGTATTCATAATTTCATACACATTTATACATATATTTACTATATCGTGTTGGATTAAACTCAACAGCTAACTTGAGAAGAATGACAAAGATTGAAACCATTATTTTTCGTACATTTAATTACAAACTTAGTACCTAATAAATCAAGAACAACTTGGCCAGGGTGACCTAGACGCTTGTGCCAGATGTCGGGTGACACAACAACAAGAGAAAAAGGAGTGGTGGTGGTGGTGGACACAGCGTTGCCATTTATTGGATATAGCTCCCCGAAACTATTGCATCTCATAATACGGGTCCCCGTAGTTATATCCTTCACAGAAAAACCAGCAGGATCAAATTCAACAGAAACATTATTGTCAGTAGTGAATTTACAGACAGACACAAGATTTTTGATAATATGGGGGGCAACAAGGGTATTTTTGAGATATATATTGCGATCGGGGAGGGTTAAGGTTTTGGTTCCACAGGCAATAACTGGAATATGACTACCATTCCCGACTAAAATTGAGCGAACACCACTATTACTAAAAACACCAGACAAGGTACCTGGATTAACCGTGAGGTGAGATGTGGCCCCATTGTCCATGCAAAAAGAATCATCCGGTTGTTCCAAAGATAATGAGTTGTAAGCTTCGGCATGTCCTCGGGCTTCAAGGAAGCATCTGTATGAGTAATAAGGGCCTGACCCTTATCCTTATGTAAGTCAAAATTAGGATGGCCCAAATGTGGACCGGAAGAGGGGCGAGAGCCATGCGGCCGCTGTGGAGATGCGGACTAGAGTTGTTGTTCAGTGATTCAGCAGAGCTGTTGTTCGGTGATTCCTCGGCGGCTAGAGCAGTCGATTGGGCGGTTGTCTGTTGTTGGGCCCGACGCTGCTCCTCCGTACGAAGTTGAGAGCATGCTGCTTCGAAGGGAGGCATAGACTGGCCGACTGGGAGATGAAAGAAGCTACTGTGTCATATTCAAGAGGCAAACCGTTGACTAGCTGAATGACCAAGCATTTTTCGTTCATAGGAAAATCAAGATCCTGAAGACGGTCAAACATGGTTTTGAGTTTGTCACAGTAATCATCAACGTCCGAACAGTTCGTGAATTTTAGATTGACAAACTTGCTTTCCAAGAGAGCTGCACGGGTGCCTTTGTTGTCTTGGAACAGAGTTTTGAGGCGGTCCCATAGGTCCTTTGCGGTTTTACCGGATTTGAGAACGGTAAGCATCAAGTCCTTGGACATGGTAGAGAACATCCATTGACAGACTAGGGCGTCAAGTTGTTTGGCGGTAGGACCGTCAATGGTGCTAGGGGCAGCAGTACTGTCAATGAGGAACATGAGGTTATGAGCCTCAAGATGAAGTTCAAACAAGAACACCCACGAGGAATACTCATCGTCTTTGAGATCGAGAGTTATGGGAATATGTGTTTTGATATTGGTGAGAGTAAGGGCAGGATGAATAGGTGTTCGGGAAGAGGAGGCTTCTTCGGTCATGGTGAAAAAAATGCAGAAAAGAAACACAGGGAGAATGGACCGATTTAGTTTGATACCATATAGGAGAATGTGTAAACTCCCTTGAGGAGATGTCTTTACATTATGACTATTTATACAAGAATGATGAGAGTATACAAGGTAAGGGAGTACTTACAAGAGGATTATGTGGGATTTACAAATCAACTAATTTAATACAAATCATCTACATAAGGCTAGATATCAAATCAAAATATGGTAGACTATTACCGAGTCCATGACTAGTCTGATCTAAGTCTAAAAAATGGAGGCATGGGGTCAGAACCATAGTTGTTACGACGGGGTTTTGCGGCGCGGCACCTTTGGACTGCCATACCGCTAGGGGTGTACTCGGGCCGATTCGGGCCTGGGCCGGCGATTCTGGAATGGGGGCCCAGAACCGGCCCAGGTAATCCCCGAGTCCGGGCCAGGCCTCGAACCTTTGTTAATTTTTTTTCTTTTCCTAGTTAATCCCCCACCCCCCCCCCCACCCCAAACGGCCCAAATTATCCATCCCAACTCAAAAACTAAAAAAATTGAAAAATAAAAAATAAAAAGGCCCGGAACCGGGCCCGAACCGGCCAGGCCGGTTCATGATTTGGGGGACCCGAGCCCGGACTGGAACCCCCACAGGTCGGGCCTACCCGGACCCGGTCACTGACCGGGCCACCGGGTCGGGCCGTGCCGGAACAATGCCGGTTCGGGCTGATTCCAGGTCGGGCCACCCGGCCCGAGTCCAGGCCTACATACCGCCATGGCGATATGGCGCCCGTCGTGGCGGAGTCGCGGCGATAAGTCGACATATACACTAATAGTTCATAATATGTTTTACATACTAAAAAGCCTACATGTAACACTTATAGCCAACACTACTAAGGAAGTAAATCAAGTAATAAAATATGTAATCATATAAATAACATAATCCATAAGACCATAACCATAAGACAACAAAGTAAATTTCAGCATAAATTGAAAACACCGAAAAAAATATGATATATAAAATTAAAAAAACTACTGAAATTTATTCATTATTTGGGGAAAACTGAAATTTGTTTTCATAAAATTGAAACTTTTCTTTAAATAGTAACAGTAGTACAATACTAACTTTTCAAAAACTTTTTGACTTTCTATAAAACACTAACAGTTCATCACATCAAATACAACATTAAATTCAAAGCATTCAACAAAATATTAAATACAATTTTGTTTTGAGAAATATTAAATACAAAGTTAAATATCCAAAGTTGGATGATTTTAAACCCGCGTACCCAACTGGAGTAATAACTAAACAAAAACGAATCATATAACACACTAAAGTTAAAAGTTAAAAAGTCCAAGTCTAGAAAAAAATTGAAGAAGTAAAACTGCGGACCATTATACACTGCCCAATTCCCAATACAGTTTCATCACCGGTAAAGTATGGTCATTAAAATACCGTTGTTCCAATGTTATAATTAATTAATTGATTGATTAATTAATTAATTAATTAATACTACGTAATATGTATCCTTCACAGCAGATTACCAATTAAAAGGGAACAAGGGATACTCTACCATTAACCCATCCGGTGCTTTTGCACCTTACCAAGTACATATCTGCCATCTTCATTCAATACAGCTTCCACACGCACGCCCCCGCTAATATCAAGGTTCTTTCTTTTCACAGTAAGTCCGTATGACCGTTGATTCAGCATCAACTGCAACAATATTTTCCATCATATGAAATTAGTAAGTAACTTGCACATAACCTTACCCCCTCCCTCATCTAAAAACACAATTGTATTTGCGAGTCATTTACCGAATTATATCGCACCATATACTCTTTAGAGCCCTTTTCATATCCTGAAGCTATCAGCACATCCTCTGCAGCCTGAATATGCGAGAGAACAATAACAACAATAGCGGCAGCAAAAAGCTTGAAGGATACATTGCAAAGTACCAAAGATGTTTATAAAGAATCATAAAAGCTCACTCACTTTTGTATCATTCACACTAGTAATGTAATAAATAAAGCTCTCCAACCCGTGATCATCAACATCCACACATGCAAGTATTGAACCCATGTCCTAAATCATTAGCAAAGTAATTCTTTATGTTAGTCTCTGATTAATTCAAAACGTTAAGCTGAGAAAAACAGTAGGAAAGAGAGACTTTCAGTTGTTGTTTTGTTTGGGGAATTCTAGGAGCCGGACTTTCGCTCGGGTCCAAGGCACAAGTAGGAGGAGGATCAAGCTTTGTAAACTCAGAAGATTCAGCAAGCATGGTTGAAGAATCCTCTGCCAGTCCAATCGACCGCCTCTTGGCATCTCGATTTTCTATAGCAGCAATTATAGGACTTCCACTCCTCTTCTCATGTGTAGAAAATTTGTGAGACGTTTCATTCTCCTAACAATACAATCATAATTTCAAAACATTTCAGGCTTTCAGCTTCAAGATAAGACGATAACTACTGGAATTAGCCATAGAGAACCGTATGTTGAAAAAGAAACTGTAAGATCTCAATTTAACAAATATAGTTCACGAAATTTAGATTAATCATTGGAAAGCATGATAGAGTTCAAAAGGCTGACAAATTTATAAAAGAAACAGAGCTCTACAATCTAACCAGTTAGTGTTTACGAAATCTAATAAAAAATGCTACAAAAATATTTAGACATTCTTGAGTAACCCACATTTTACGATTTGAAGTTCGGACATGTTAGGGAAAAAGAGTCATTTTTTTCATTTTCATTTACCCCAGTGCCGCACAGGCTCCCACCTACGGTGGGGTAAGGGGGGGTCGGATGTACGCAGTCTTACCCCTGTACTAAAGCAAAGAGAGACTGTTTCCGGATGACCCATAGTGAAAATCGCGTCCAAAATTGCATGGGCTGACTGCTGCTTCATAACAAAGAAGCGCAGACAGTTTAGTGAGCCATTTTGCTTTATTCCATCATATTCTCAAGCCAAAAAATAATGAATCTTTGGTAAGAGTATTTAACACAAAATGTTATTCCAGCTCTCACATGCATACAACGACCTGATAGTTGACAAAATTAATAACATTAATTGCAATATTAAAATTTCAAACTTTTATTCATAAAATCATTGGTAAGAGTATTTGGTCCCCACTCTGTTCCCATATGTGCAGTGGCGGAGCCAAAAATAACAAGTTAGAGGGGCCAAAGCTTAAGGGTATGTTTGGGAGTTGGATTTTGGAGGGGAGGGGAAGGTTGACAAGGGTTTATGACCCTTTCTTTCATGTTTGGGCGTTTAAAAAAATGGAGGGTGGTTTTGGAGGCTTTTGTAACACTCTAAAACCCTCCAAATGCTCAATTTTTCAGTTCCCCAAATTGGGGGATTTTGAAGGATAACTACTTAAATGACAACTTTAAATAAATATGAAGTCAACTATCTGAATGTATTGATTTTAATTATAACCTCTATCTTTTCAAAAATTTACTCCCAAACAAGAAGAAGAGTTTCCTCTTCTCTCCCTCCCCTTCTCTTCTATGATTAACCTTCAAAACTTTCCCCTTCCCTTCAAACTCACAAACATGCTCTAAGGAATTTATATTGGAGGGCAAAACTTAAAATTTCACTACAATACTACTTACAAATATTTATACATACGTATATACATAAATAAAACACTTGGGGGCGAGGCATCCGTCTGCCTCCCCTGTCTGACTGTCTCCACCCCTGCTTATGTGTGTTAAGATGATATGCAGCACCAATGTGACGAAAATAGACATAGCCAATAGGTATTACCTGATTCATTTTCAGTGGGAGATTCGAGATCCTGGACTGAAAAGAGAAAGAATCACACGAAACGTCGATCAAATACATGGAAACAACGACTACGGAGAAGAAAGAGTACACATAAATCCAGAGAAGAGATGCGATAATACCTTCAATTAAATCTGCACTGAGCAACCGCGGGGTTAGGGTTCCTGCGTACTCAAAACGTCCAACAATGGATATTAGCAAAACAGTTTCCGCAACCGGACGAGTTGATGTGTGAGAATCTGGGGCCATGTCTCGAGGATAGTTTACATCCGTCGATTCCTTGCATATTTATGGAAAGTAGCTTTGGCGCACGTTTTCTCGTACTGATTCATTCTCAAACTCAAAACCTTATCCAAAAGGTGGAATCTCGGTCCCCGGAGCCCCCAGAGTCCATATATTATACAACCGGTTGTATGGTGAACACTATGGGTGGACTCGGGCCTGGTTCGGGCCTGGGCCCGGCCGGGCCTCGGGCCAGAAAACTAGGGCCCGGGCCCGAACCGCCGGTGGGCGGTTCCGGTTCCGGGCCAAACCGGGTCGGGCCGGGCCAACCGGTCTTTTTTTTTTGTTTTGGTTCTCCTTTTTAACCTCCTACCCCTCTCCCTCAACCCCAAACCACCCCAAACCACCTCAAATGGCTCAAAATACCTAATCCAACTCAAAACTTAAAAAAAATTCAAAAAAAAAAAATTAAAATCCGGACCGGGCCCGAACCGGCCGGGCCGGTTCACCAAAATCAGGGCCCGAGCCCGGACCGCCATCCCACCGGGCCGGGTGGCCCGAATCGGTGCACCAACCGGTTGACCGGGCCGGTCCGGGCCCGCACAGTAGCTGGCCGGTCCGGTTCCGGGCCGGTTGGCCCGGCCCGAGTCCACCCCTAGTGAACACCATACAACCGGGTAATTTTGTAATTATCTGCAGTCTGAGCCCATTTACCTTTCATATGAACACTCCCTCTTGTTAATGATCGTCCCTGCACCATACCGTTGCTCAACTCAGTTTTTTTTCAACTCTCCTTCTTCACTTCTTTTTTCTTTTTATACAAACAATTTCTAAGTTATATGGAGTATATAAAATTGAAACTTTCCAATTCCAAAAATCTTTAATGATATACAATTTGATTTAACACATCTATCTTCTTTAATCATAATATTCGGAAAAAATTCAAATTGAATGTCAATTTTTGTTTTTCATGGAACATTTTATTATTTGTTCCACTTGTATATAATGTTGAGAGATGGGTGAGTTTTTCATAATAGGTCTTGTTATGATTAGATTTTTCTAATTTTATTCCAGTTCTATAATTTTAACAAATTTTAGATGTTTTTATTATGCACTGAATTTTATGTTAAAAGAACTTGTAAAATGGTTGAGATAAATTAATGTTCTTTTAATGAATATCGGACATCTTTTATTGAGCATTAGAAGCATAACAATGAGCATTGTGATCTGTGTTTCATATATTGTGATTCACATTCTTTTCCTTGTTTTTTCTTTTATAAAAATTTACGAAGTATTAAATTATATCTATAATTAACTCCTATGAACTTCAATATGCGAATCTAATGTAATATGATACTTTTGAAATATGTATTGATATGCCATTTTAAAAATGAGCATACATAAGTATCAATTGAGCATACGTAACTTACAAAATGAGCATTGATATGAAACTCGTAAGTTTTTTAGTTTAACATCAAGACATTTTCGTTGAAAATCAAACTTTCTCTATTGAGTATTAGAAACATGCAATTAAGCATATCAAATCCTACACAAATCTTATGTAATATGATAATTTTGAAATATGCATTGATATAACATTTTAAAATGAGCATATCACCAGTACCAAATGAGCATACATAACTTACTAAATGAGCAATGATATGAAAATTATAAGCTTCGTTAGTTGAACATCAAAACATTTTCATTGAACATCAAACTTCTGTTGAGTATCACAAGCATGCAATTGAGTATCATGATCTGTGCACCCGTATGAGTAATCAACTCCAACTTGAATCTAATGTAATATGATATGTTTGAAATATGCATTAAGGTAACAACGTAAAATGAGCATAACATCACCACCAAGTGAACTTACATAACTTACCAAATGAGCAATGATATAAAAATCATAAGCTTTGTTAATTGAACATGAAGACATTTTCATTGAACATTAAACTTCTTATATTGAGTACCCGAAGCACGCAGTTGAGTATCGTGATCTCTAATACGTTACTTTTAAAATATGCATTAATATGACATTTGAAAATGAACATAAAACCAGTACCGGATGAACATACATGATTTGCAAAATGAGTATCGAAGAATTTAAAAGCTCGTTTGAATTCTCTAATGTGTTCAAATGTTTATTTGTGCATATTTAGTTTACACTATACTCATTTTAATATAACACAGAACTCATGTTAGTAATTGACACACAATATTTAATAACTAATAAATACTTATCTTAAAAAGTAAAAATAGAAAAATAAAACATTTATACCCAAAATATTGTATAATGGACAAATTAAAAAAAATGATGTTAAAAAGATGATTGAAAAAAAAAGAGAAAAAAACTCGACACCGTATTAATATTTTATATTATAATTTTTCATAACAATTGAATAAAATTAAAGCAAAAAGCTCTTGAATTAGAAAGTAAGAAAAAAGAAAAAGAAAAAAAAAGAAAACAACAAGTAATAGGCTAACCTAGAAACGTACAAACGAAAAAACAAAAGCAAAGAGAAATAAAAAAAGCAGATCAGAGAACGTGCGGCTCATAGAAAGCAGACCGAAGAAGAATTGGAGAAAGCAGCCGGCTGCCACCATAACTATAAGCCTGAAAGTTCAATTTCATTTCAAAAATAACCGGATGTACGGTGCTCACCGTACAGTCGGCTGTACGATATAATCTGCCGAGCCCCCATGTCTCGATTTGATAGGGCACTTGAAAGTTGTAAATCAGGACAATTCAGTCAGTCGATATACTCGTGCGCGTCCCCGAAGCCCCCATGTCTCGATTTGATAGGGCACTTGAAAGTTGTAAATCAGGACAATTCAGTCAGCCGATATACTCGTGCGCGTTAGAGGTTCGGCCCACGAGGCCGAACTTTACTCCCTTGATCCGAATTTCCCAATACTCGTACCGCCGGTGGTACGTACATCCGGCGGTTTAATTTGCTTAGCATTCAGTTCGTTCGTTGCTTACTCCTTGTTTTCAGTTCTTTGTCTTCTTTTGTTTTATTCGGTAACAACCTTTTTGTTTTCTTTCGGTTCTTTCTTTTCAGGTTTTTGTTTTTTTCTTTATCAATTTTTTTAATTTCAAATTAAGTTATCATGAAACCTATAATATAAAATATTACTTAATGTTCCAGATTTTCTCTTTTTCCAATCAACTTTCTAACATAGTTTTTTTTAATTTGTGTAATATAAAAAGTTTTAGGTATTGATTTTTTATTTTTCTATTTTTTTATTTTAATTATATATCTTTATTAGTTTATTATACATTGTGTTTTAATTACTCAATTTTGTTTTATACAAAAATGAGTATAGTGTAAAATAAATGTGCATGAGTAAACATTAATTATAAAAAGAACACGATTATATTTGTAATTCAATAAAAGAAAGTTTGATGTTCAATGAAAAATGTTTTGATGTTCAATTAACAAAGTTTGCGATTTCCATATCAATGCTCTTTTTGTAAGTTATGTATACTCATTTGGTACTGATGTTATGCTCATTTTAAAATGTTATATCAATCCATATTTCAAGAGTAACATATTAAATTAGATTGAAGTAGGAGTTAATTATAGATACGAGAGCACAGACCATGATATTCAATTGCATATTTTTAATACTCAATAGAGAAGATTTGATGCTCAATGAAAACGTTTTGATGATCGCTCAACTAAAAAAACTTATGATTGTCATACTAATGCTCATTTTATAATTTACGAATGCTCAATCGGTACTCAATTGCACGCTTCTAATACTCAACAAAGGAGGTTTAATGCTCAATGAAAAAATGTCTTGATGCTCAACTAACAAAGCTTATTATTTTCATATTAATGCTTATTTTGTAAGTTACATATGCTCAATCGATAATGATGTTATGCTCTTTTTTAAAATGTTATATCAATGCATATTTCAAAAGTATCATATTACATTAGATTCACATATTGAACTTCATAGAGATTGATTGTAGATATAATTTAATAAGTTTCTATAAAAGAAAAAATATAAAAAGAATGTCAATTAAAAGATATGAAACAGAGATTACGATGCTCAATTTTAGACTCCTAACACTTAATATAATTGGTTAGTGCTAATTAAAAGTTCATTTAACAGAAAGCGTTATTTTTATCTCAATATAGGAGGTCTGATGCTTAATGGAAATATCGTGACGTCCAACTAACAAACCTCGTGATTTTCATATTTATGCTCATTTTGTAAGTTACATATGCTCAATAGGTACTCATGTTATGCTCATTTTTAAAATGTCATAACAATGCATATTTCAAAAGTACCATATCATATTCGATTCACATATTGAAATTCATATGAATTGATTATAGTTATAATTTAATGAGTTTTTATAAAAGAAAAAAAAAGTGAACTACAATATATGAAATTGATATCACATTACTCATTATTCGACTCTTAATGCTCAATAGAATACATCTGATGCTCATTAACAGTGTGTTAATGGTCATCTATCGAAAATAACGATTTTCATTGATATTATAAAAATGCTACCGTTTTTTAGTTGTGATATCAGCTTTGTTGTACTAACATGATGCTCATTATTGGATGTTAAATACTCATTAACATTGGACTATTGCTCATTAAATGTACATAAATGTATTATTGCTTAAATTACAAAAATGCCACCAAAAATATAATGGCTTATATTAGCTAATGGACTGTCCTTTTCAATTGGGCTGGATGTACCAACATCCGGTTGTAGGATATAGGTACTCCCAACTGAGATACCCATGTGGGTTCAAACTCAAAACCTCTTATGTGGGAAAAATTATTTTTTAAGGAAAATTTGAAAATAATAATCTCAACTATTATCGGTCCGTTATTAATAATCTCGACTATCGATGATTCTTGGATGGTCCCAACTATAGAGACCATTTTTTAAAAATAGTTTCTAACCTCTAAAACCCGGTATAGCAGATCAAATTTAAATGTGAACTATGTGCAAGCTATAAATAATCTCAACTATAGTCGATCTTCTTTTATTAATCCCAATTACCAAATCTCAATTTAAAAAAAAATATAAAAATATACGGAGTATTGTTTATGATTTTGTTGTCGTGCTAACAAGTTATGATTTTGTATT